CACTGGATCACCAAATCATGGCAATGTGCCACGTGGACCAACTGGGCTCCATGTTCCTCAGGACCCACATGGCCCACGTGTTCCTCAGGGTCAGGGCCCCTATGTGCCTCAAGGGCATTATGGGCCTCCTGGGCCTTATGGGTCCCATGGGCCTCGTGGTCCACCCCATGGTCCTCATGGACAAAGCTTTGCTCCAGCTCCAGCCAATCACAGCCCTCCACAGCAACATGTGTATGAGTACCAATACCCAAGGTACAGGCCTCCAATGCAAGCTGTTCACTACAATGCTAGCTTCCCCACCAATAGCTATGGTGCATCTCATTACGATGCACCAGCACCTAACTCGCATTCCTTCACTGAGACACAGCCTCCATCCTATCATTTGGACAACTATGCATCTCAGCCGTATCCATATCATCAGCCATCCTACAACTTACCACAGCCGTCCGATTCTTATGGGTTGTTCAGTGATGAAAATCCCAATGGGTGCTACATTATGTGAAGCTTTGTGGTGCAAAAAGGCAAAGGAGATTAGGCCTTCTACTTAGCTTGTACAAGTGCTTTTGGGGATGCTTTGTTATGTGTTATGCAGCTGGTAATGTGGATATGGAAGAAGCCTAATCTAAGTTTAGGGGAAAATAAGTGGGGTTTAAGGTGGGGTTCTAGGGTTCCAGGGTACTTTAAGTAGTTGATCTATGTGCTTTTAGCTTTGTTTAGTACTTTTTTGTTTTATGCTCTTTTAATTATTATTAAAAGAGTTAATTAACTAAGTAGGTTCCTAATTGTCTGTCTCAGAACTTCTTTCTCATGTGTAAAAGTAGATTGTGCAATTTAGCTTATTATTAGATGGTGACTAATTTGCATTTATATTTTGAACATTCAAAGTTGGAGAATTCAATTTTTATATGTTCGGATACACCACCTGGCATACCACGTGGTTGGTGTACCCGGAACATACAAAAATTACTTTCAAAGTTGCAAACCAACTTACTTTTTGAACCATCTGATTTGTTGCACATAAGCTTGGTTTCTTTGTAGGACCATTGCAATCTTTCAAATGCTTTTTTTAACTGATGTGTAAAGGGGAAATTAATGGAGAAAAGGGAAAAGAGTAATTAAACTTTAATTAGAGGTGTGCTTAAAAGGATGCTAATTACATTGTAAACTGGAATATTATTTTGTCTCTTTCTAGGCTAAGGAAACCAGATTCCTTGAGCAAATGTTTTTTGATTCTTATTTCTTTCACCTGTGTCTGCTGAAAATGGTTCATGTTGGTGTAGCAGGTTGTGTGGAGGAAGCAAATGTTTAAATTCACCAAATGAAAAAAGTCTCTTGTTCTTTACTATAAACTCAACTCAAAGCATTAAAATAATTGATCTTGTTTGAAAGCCTTGCTTTTAAAAGCAATCTCTTACTTCCATTAACCTTTGGAGTCTGTGATGGCCTGTCCTCTTGCTTTACTTCCATTTGTTTTTTCATCTAGACTTCTGCTTTTGGATCAAAAGCAATTTTTTTTGCACATTAAATTAAAAGCAGTTTTGTACGGTAGTATGGAGGTCTTTCTTTATTTCTTTCTTTTGAGAGAGACTGTCTCCTTCCTAGGGCAAGGAACCCACAACAAATCATGTTCATGATAAGGTCAGAAACCAGAATGCTTGCTAATTAGCTTCTGTTTGACTTCAGTTTAGACTGTTTTTGACCAGTTTATGAATATTAATGATTACTTAAAAAAAGGGATTAGCAGTGACGCTTGGCCAAACTCCACCTTCGTACTTTAATCATATTATTAGCAGTGATTTTCTGTTTTGCCCTACCAAATGGTGGATTGGTTTTGTATTTTATGTCTAAGTGGGATTTATTAGGGTCATATCAGTGATAATATGCAGAGGAACCAGCGTTTGGTGGGTCCTACATATCTGCACTCCTTTCTGGCTATATTCTCCATTGCCAAAATATTGAATGGAAATTGTGAGACTCCCAATTTTGATCAGATTTTTTTTTTCTTCTTCTGCAGTTTTAATGTCTGGAAAAAAGGCTCTTTTGGGCTTTTATTCCCTTGGCCACTTGAGAGTCATTTGACATTCCAAGCTTTGTAAGGAAGAGAACCTCTTTGTTTTATTCTGATTCTTCTCTTAGGTGAGCAATCAACAATTATGGTCTCCCTCAAGGATAATTTGTTCTTACCCTTCCAATCTCCAGAGGAGATAATGGTGTTGCTGTTGTAATAAAAATGTAAATACAAATTTACCTTGGTACAAAGTTATCAGTAAAAAAAGAGATAACCAAGGACTGGACCAATGGTGTTTATGAGTTCCCTGAAACTTACCATTACTTGTACTTCACACAAAGAGAAACAGTAAAAATTCCCACTTTTTTTTTAAGATAGGAAAATGCTGAAGCTGCTGAAAAGGGGTAAGGCTGGGACAGGCTTTATTATATACAGAAAGACAGGATGAAATATATTGAATCATTGGGATAGATGAAATTGATTCATAAGAGAATCTTAACCCAAAAACAAATACACTTCATCTTCATATTCAATCAATTTGCATATTCTTCCTGATAAATGTCTGAGCAATTTCCATCTATCTGGAACCAGATTCCTTCAATCCAATCAAACTTCCATGCCAAGTTAACCCCTTAATTATTCTCAATAAGTTGATTGATTTGCACAGGGAAACACAGACAAGTGCATGCCTTCACAAAAAAAATTGTTTTAACTCCTATGTTTTTGACAGTGTTCATTTTGCACGGTAAACAAGATGATAATACACATCAGACTTTTTCTTAATGTTGAACAGTGACTTGTTCTGTAGAAAAGCATTGACAAGACCCTGATTTGCAAACCTTACTTTAAGATAACTAGAAAGCTACACCTACAGATGCTCTGATTTCCCACATAAATTGCTGTTCATCTGCCAAGTCTTATACTTGCAATTAGGCCTGCACTGGACTCCAAGTACATTATCTCCTCTGTCCCTTTTCTAAAACAGTTCAACTTCTTTGTTTTTTGTTTGGCTCAGTTCACAAGGACCAAGATGGCAGATTTCCCATTACACACCATACTATTTCTCAATACTGAAGAGCAACTCAGTTTCTGCAGAACAAAAGGAAAGATCAGATTTTTAGTGCCCATGAGGAAAGTTGCTTTGAATTATTGGAAAACTGAGTTGGCTTGGCTGTGTGTGCTTGTGTTCACTGGGAGGGGATTTGAAAAGAGAATCAATGGTTAAAACAATAAATTATGATTTAATTATTTTATGGTGAGGCTAATTATGTTGGTAATGACCACAATCATAGCAAATACAGTGATGCAAGCATCTGAAGATATGATGTCTGATTTGGGATAGAGCAATGCCTAATTAGGAGCTACTTAGCTTGTGTGTTCTAGGAAAGATATGCATGCATACATAATTACATACACAAATACATGTGCCTAAAAGATAATTTTTTAACTAAAAGGCTAAGGGTTGTGTCTCTCTGATAGGGAACTATGTCCCATAAACATTGCATATACTATGGATTTGAGCCACATGCTAAGTTGGTTAAAGTGAAAGTGTAGTTAGTTATGAACTTAGCCCAAAATTATAAAAAATATATATGAAAAGTTGAAATCAGTAAGTTCATAGATGATTCAAAATGTATCTAACTTTTGAAGGAACAAAGTGCGACTTGACTATAATTTCGGGGAGCACTACGGTAATTAAGTCTTGATAATATTCTTGCCCTTGTTGACTGTTGTGAGGCAACTGGTTTTAAAGAGATCCTACCTATCCGTTGTTTACGTAAGCTGTATAAGCCTGAATATGCAGAAGCATCTGCTTGACAGCCACAAGCTAACTGAGCTTTTAAGCACTTTTACACAAGCTCGTTTCCCAGATTGATTTGGCAGTCTAATTACATATCTTCTGCTGTTTAAGTGAATAATTATTATTGTAACTTGCTAACACAGACTGATAATCAAATCACATGCTTTTTTACCTTTAAATAAAAGGGGAGAAAGGGATTGTTTGGTCAATAAAACACACAATTTCAGGCAGAAAATTTCCCTAAACAAATAGTTAAGGTCCCTTGAAAGAAAAGAAAAATTAATAGTTGAGAGAATGCTAGTTTCTTCAGTGTAGGCACAGGTAAAGCGACCTTCAGACCAAAGCTATGGACCACTGTAGAGTTGACAACAAGCCTCACTGTTACGCAAAGGGTCAGAGTGAAATGACTGAAAAAAAAAAAGAGAGTATCAAAAGGGTCAAATTGCTTCTCAGATCCAAGTCGCAAAAATGTACGACATCATCATTGCTGCCTGAATTTACTGCATTCACTCATCAATCACACAATTACCCATGACACAACTAGTTTCGAAAGCAAATGATTCATTTGGTTTATTAGTTTCCTTTCTTTTGCTAATCAAAATTTAATTTTGTACCTATAAGTGTGGTTTGGTAGTTCGATTTGAAATTGATTGAAGGTGAAATCAAGACAATTTTTATGAGCCTCGCATCTGTAAACAGAACTTATAAACACAATACATTGTACTGTTGTTCGATCTAATAAAAGTTTACCAATCAACACTTAAATCAATAGTCCAATTTAATTGAAATGGTCAATTTCAAATTGAGTGATCAAATGATGTCCATTGTTATTTTGTTCACTTGTGGGCAAAACCCAGTAAATCTAAACCCCTCGGGACTAGCAAGAGCGACCCTAGGCCAGTGCGACCGCCTTGGGCCTAAAACAGCAATAATTTTATGGGCATTTCTTTTGTGTGCCTTTCCTTTTACACATTTTGAGCCTCGTTTGATTGTAGTGCTGATGGATTCTTCTTTGGGCTTTTTCTACTTCATCCCTGCTGTGGGCTGCTAACAAGTTCTAATTTCATACAAAGACATTGAAAGAAAAGCAACTTTGTGTAAGTGGATCTATAAATCCCAGCCCAATCCAAACGGTACAAAAAGCCCGATATTTTGTCCAAGCTGAGTTCATATTCCCGCCAGCGCCAAGCTAGAGTGCCCGCGACGCTTTTTCGTCTGAGAGGGAGTGAGGAAGGGGGAGAGAGAGAGAGAGAGAGAGAGAGAGAGAGTCGGGCGATGGAATTTAGTGTGAGCGGGAACGCCCTGAAGACCTTCACTCGCTCTATCACGTGCCTCGCACGAGTCGGAAACGAGCTCGCCATCCAAGCTTCGTCTTCTCAGGTTCACTAACTTTCCTTTCACTTTCCCTCATTCCAAACACTCCATATATTGACCCAAAAAAAAAAAAAACACTCCATATAGTCTTTACTAATTCCCGCTCCACGCTTATAATTCGTATCTTTTTTGTTCGTTCGATTTTCCTCCGAGAAAACTGATAGATTAATTATTTGGTTTTTTATTTATCAATTTCTTGCGTTATTGCGGCGTTCAATTTGATCGCGGTTATTTGACATTTTATTATTGTAATTATGATGCCTGATGGTAGAATCATTTTTACTTTTCGTTAAGTATGGATCCCTGGCGTATGATTAGTAATTTATCTTTTGAAAAAATTGTATGTAGGTGATAAATGTTTAGGGTTTTGCTTATGCATTTTTAGGGTTTTGGAAGAGCATGAGTGGCAGCTCTAAGAATATTGGGTGCACATAATCGGATATTGCAATGCAACAAATGAGTTACTAATAATTTGTTATCACGGCAGATGCTAAAGATTTTGTTCCCCTATCTATGCAGCTTGCTTTGCACACTCTCAATTCGTCACGGTCTGCCTATCACTCAAGTACATTTAAGCCTGAATTCTTTGATGTCTATACTATATCTTGTAACCAGGTGCAATGTAGTGTGCTTTTGAAGGTAAGGCGTCATGGCTCACCAGAATTGCTTTCTTTAGGCTTGCATACCGTGGTAATCTTACCGACTTAGTCTGTTCAGGCTGTTTGTTCTGTGCTTAGGACACCTTTAGCAACTATAGATCATTTGAGCATACGATTGCCTGATCCCGATGCATCAAAAATGCAATGGACTTTAGAATGCTACAGTGGTAAATTATCCTTTCTGATATCTTATCTGTTTATTCTTTATGCAAAATGGCACATGCACAATTCGTTATGACCAGAATTCAGTCTAAAATTTTGCTTGCTGAGTTCACCACTATACACACAATCAGGATCAGGCTTCTGGGACTGTAATTCGAGCACACTGATAGAATATTGATTGCCTAGAATTTTGTTGTTTAGCACACTATACAACTACATTATGCAGCTTTCCTTATCATATGATCTTCCTTTTATTATATATTGTTTGATTGCCATGGTTTTAAACTTCATACTGACATTTTGCAGGTATGAAAAAATCCTATTGGATTATTTGCAATGTTGAACCAGACATACAACATCTATCTCTTGATAGGAGAAGATTCCCAAGCAGCTTAGTTGTGAGACCTAGAGATCTAAACAGATTGCTTGCTAATTTTCAGTCATCGCTTCAGGAGATTACCATCATAGCAACAGAAGCCACTTCCATGCCTTCTGATGTGGCAAGTGAAATTGGAGGAAAAGCTGTCGAACTTAGAAGTTATATTGACCCGACCAAAGGTAATAAAGGTTTTGCTTCTCATTTCTGAAATTATTACAAGCAGGATGTTTATGTTTGAATTTTCCAACAACAGACAGCGACTCATCACTGCATACTCAACTATGGATAGACCCTGCAGAAGAGTTTGTGCAGTATACTCACACGGGAGACCCCATAGATGTGACGTTTGGTGTGAAGGAGTTGAAGGTTAGTAAATTCAATCCTCGGGTCCTGATTATATTTGAATGTGTTACATTGCCAAAAGCATTGTCCCAGTGACAAGCCTCCGCATTTAAACAGACATAACATCCAGCTAATTATTGTTGTTATCATCACAATAATTTTCATTGGCTGATGCTTTGTAGTAAAGTGTACAAACCTCATAGTCTATTTCCTTTTTCACTGGATGCTTCACATTCTTTTTCTAGAGCTAAATCCTAGGTGCTCTAATTTGTTGTTACATCTGTCTTTTTTCCAATTTATTTCAGGCATTCCTTTCCTTCTGTGAGGGCTGTGAAGTTGACATTCACTTGTATTTTGAGAAAGCCGGAGAGTAAGATATATCTAAGTTCTTCTTATTTTGTTTATCTTCCCTTTGCATTCTTTTTTCTCTGCATCCTATGACAAGTTTCGAGATTCAAGCTAATATGCATGCTATAAGCTGACCATGGTTGATATCAGTCAGAAATCGGAGTAGGTGCCCACATAACTTTCTGTGACATTGTCAACATCACACACCCATACTTCACACTCCTAGTTCATCTTTTATTTGCTGATATGACACAAGAGTGGTCAACTCATGACCATTTCAATATGTTGGATTTGGATTGATCATGCCAAATACTTAAGATAGTTAATAGTATTCCGTTTCTCATCTTCTTTCGGATTAGAATTTGAAATTATTGTGATTTTTCTCCTGTAAGATATAAATGAATCTTCAGATCAGTTTAATCAGTTGTCTTGACAGTATGTTCAACTCTGTAGAGGCAAACATAGTGATTATCTAGTGTTATAAATTTCAGACTTTGCTAGAAATTGTGGATGGAAGTATTATATTAACCAAAATGTAACTTAAAGATTGGTTAATCATATGTTTGGGAAAGCAGGCCTATTCTAATGGCACCCAAGTTCGGTCTAGATGATGGGTCCACTTCAAATTTTGATGCTACACTTGTACTTGCAACCATGCTAGTGTCGCAGCTCCATGAAAGCAATACCTCAGAACCTCCACAAGCAGCTACTGTAATGCACATTCAGGAAGATCATGGGACAGGGTCAGAACCAGGACGAGAAAGGTGTGGAACAAATGTTTCGGAGCATCCATCTGATCACACCAGAATTTGGTCTGATCTTTCAGGTAACCATTTTCGTCAATATCTTAAGAAAGTGCCAAGATGTTGTGCTTCTATTTTCTTTAACTTTTTTTATTTTGTGCAGGAAGTGGTGCAAGAAATGGCAGTGGTGCCGAAGCAGGACAGGCTCAAGGGGAAAGAAATTTGAGTGCTAATGGACAGAGAGAAATTCAAAGGATGAGCACAATGCATATTTCAAATCCTGCATGTGCTAGGGAAAATGAACCTGTGCAGGAGGATCATATGGAAGAACCTCGAGGTTTGTAAGAGGGTAGTTAGGTCAATCTTGCTCATTTTATACAAATGTAGTAACTAAAGCTTGTGCATTTTGTTGCTTCCAGATAGGTCACAAATTAACGGTGATGGCTTTTCACAACGTCATCCTAGCAACTGGATAGATGCAGATGAGGATGATAGTGATGAGGATGGAGAGGAGAATGAACTCTGTATTCCTTCAACACCACCATACTATGAAGAACATTAGGATTATTTGCTGTAGTAAAGGTTTGCTGGATTTCTTCTCTTTCTTATGTTGTAAGTCCATCTTTCTCCTCTAGTAACATGCTTTATTTTTAATTTCTTTTTTGTCAAGTCGATGTTTTGATTTTACATCAAAGCAATTTATGACAAAGGGGTATACATTGTGCAAGTATTTAAATAGAATTAAGTCCTCAACAACATTTTAGTTGGAGAGTTAGGTCATATAATTAAGTTCTCCACAACATTAGACCAGGGTTATTGGATCAGAAATGGTGAAATTGTGTCATAATTTATATGCACCAAAATGTGAAATGATTCTTGGTGTTGAAATAGCCAAACTCGTAAGAGTTAGGTCATATAATTGGTGGGGTTGGATCAAGAATTCACATGCACTATGATCCATCACTATCATGCAGCAGCAGTTATAGGACGGACACCCCCCCCCCCCCCTCTTTACTGTTTCAAATATCGCCATAAATGTGAAGCAGATCTTAGTGTTGATTTTGCATTGCCTCTCTTTTGCAGAGAATTTCTGTCTGTCTTAAGATAGGTTTTTCTTTTCCCTTTTTCTTTTGCCGTAGGACTGGTAATAAAAACAGCAGGAAAAACTCAATCGTAGTGAAGTCCTGCGTTTTCTCACTGTAATTGTCAGTTTTTTGTTGAAATATCCAATGGGAATGCCAATTAGGAATTTGATGCTTTGAATAAAACTGATAGGAAAGAAAGACTCAACAAAGTGAGCTTCTCTGGATTTGCTTATTTATTCAATAGCTTAAGGCTACATAAGTTAAAAACTATAAAATCCCTCACTTTGCCGATATTTGAAATCTTAAAAATCTGCAGGTGGGACCCATTAACACGTAGTTATCTCCTGCAGTTAAGCAATTTGTGGTTTTTCTCGTTAATGTCGGCGTGATCCCTGAACATAGCTTACATGCCAGGATGTCATCAACCTTTGTATTATTTTCTCATTTATTCTAATTTTGTTATTGTTGATCTTTTGGTATGGTTGGAATAGTTCAGACTGGTTGTGGGTTTCTTTTTCTTATGTGCTTTTCAACACCTGGAGCTGTTAAAATACGGTTGCTGGGGCTGTTTGGGAATTCAGATACTAAAGGGCATTTCTGTCCAAATGTGAGAGAATGTCCCTTCCTTGTGCATAACATTAAAAATTTATGTTGCAAATGTGAATTAGGTTATTTAGTTATAGCTGTGAGTCTGCGCATTTGTCCTCAAGTTCGAGCCCCTATTTTTTCAGAATAGATTAATTTAGAGTAGTTTAAATTAGTGATTGTATAAGACAAGAATCATAAATTGATCTTCACTCCAAAATTATAATGATGAGGGAAGATTCATATGGAAAAGAGAGATTGTGATTAAAAATGGCATAAATAATTTCCTTTTTTAAAAGAGCGTGATATAATAGTCTTCCGTGGAAAATAAAATAGAAGTATTTGTTTTGGGAAAGCTTGTTAAGCACCAGCTGTCTTGAGGAGAACTGAGGAGTTGAGTTGGTGTTGGAACGCGCAAACACCGTCCTAGCGATCTGTGGCGGGCCACCATCTATTTAACGGCTACGGCACGTAGACGCTCATTGTCCTTCTCCTGGCTAACGCCGCTTACATAGCCTATAATTTAAAAATGAGGAATGCTAGCCGTTATTCCTTTCAAATGCCACAGCTAGCTAGCTATCTATCTATCTGTGATGAAAAGAAAAGCGCGGGTATTGAATTGAAAACAACAACAAAAGGGACAGAATCAAATTCACATACCTTTCTTGAACAGGTTTGTTGGGTTTGGTTTGGGAGTCTAAAGAAAGACGACAATGCATAACTATTTTAACTTTATTTTGAACAAATACAATCATGACTAGTAAATAGGGTTTTCATGAAAAGGAATAGTGGGATTTTAGATTGTCTTCTTTGCAAAATTAAACAACGCAAGAATGGGTTTAGATCAAGGGTTTTATCTTTTATATTTATCATACAGGAATGTTATAGCACAATTATTCCGCATGTGATCGCATGTATCTTTACAAATTAGAAACTTAATTGTTTTTTTGTTCTTTATACAAGCGGTAGTTGAGGATATGTAAATTCAACACCGAAACCACTAAGTTACAAACTCCTAATAATTCTTTTTCTATAAATTAAGGGACTCTTTAAGTTGTTATAACTTGTAACTTAGCTTTCACCAAACAAATGTCAATGAGATACACATTAAAAAAATGTATACCAAATCCTTTCTACGTGCTACCAACTCAATATTTTTTTTCTTCTTTTCTTTGTGATGATGGAAGGATTCAACTCAGCTTCAAATATGCTTATTCTATACGTATACATTAGATTGGCAGATCAGTAGATTTTAATGGACGATAAAACAAAAAAGAGTACAATGAATGAGGACGGTTATGTTGAAAAAAAAGACAGAGGGCAGGGGGCATAATACTGAAGGATGACGCCAATGGATGAAGAAGACTTATTATTTGATTATGGAGATTATGGATATTATTAAAGAAATGATAAATAAAGAAACAGCAGGTAGGAATAGGATGATAGGAAGGAGAAAACGTGTTTCGGTTAACGATTCTTGGATGGACTTGGCCACTTGGGATAGGTGTAAACCCTAGATGCCGTCTTCCCTCTTCCTTATTCTATTTTTAATGCAACTCCCCCTCTCCTCTCTCTCCTCTCTGTAATCTCCATTTCCAGAGAGAGAGAAGCTCAACCAGTCAACTATACATTGCATGCCTAATAGTAGGTTGGATTCTGAATGTGGACATTATTTTACCTCTAATTTACTAAGTCTGCCATTGGTATTATGAATTTGGTGGCATTTCCAACTCCTCAAAATACAAAATACAAAAACCAACCCAAAAATAATAATAATAAGGTGAATTAGCATTGTTATATAATAAAATTCACCGAAACGATTATTATATTCTTATTATTAAGGTCTTTGTAAATGGTAGTGTGGTACAACTAACTAATATGCAGAAACAATCAATGGGCAGCATTGTAAATAACAGCTAATACCAATGTCATTTCATTACATCAGGCCGCTTATAAGACCTCATGTAACTGAGGTTTAGTTCTTGTCTAGTTGGCCTTGTCGCTCTCTCTCTCTCCATTGGCTCACTGGTAAAGAGATACAACAAACACAGAGCAAGAAAATTAAAATACAAACACCAAAGAGAAAGCAAATAAAGAAGCTCTCAAGCAAGAAGAAAAGAAAGCAGCAAGTTTTACAGAAAACAAAGAAATAGTGATACATTGAGCTTCTTATTGGGAAACAATGGCTAGGCTATGCTGTGTCTCATTCCTCCTCCTGATCTGCGCCTCAATCTTGTTGATGGGTTCATCAGCTTCTGTTCTAGCGAGTGGGGACCACCCCCAGAACCTTTCATGGATGCCCACCAACAAATCATCCTGCAAGGGCTCCATAGCAGAGTGCTTGGCTGCAGGGGATGAGGAGTTTGACTTGGACTCTGAGATCAACCGGCGCATCTTAGCCACCAGCAAGTACATCAGCTACGGTGCGATGCAGAGGAACACTGTGCCTTGCTCAAGGCGTGGCGCCTCCTACTACAATTGCCAGCCCGGAGCTCAGTCCAATCCCTACAGCCGCGGCTGCAGCGCCATCACAAGGTGCAGGAGTTAGTTTTTAATTTTTTGTTTCTTTGTTTTTAGTTTTGTTCATTTTGGAAATGGGTTCGATTGTTATACATGAACAAAGGGAGAGAGAGAAAGGGTTTGGAGGTGGTGTGTCATTGTTGTTATTATTAATGGAAATGTTGATGATGTTATAATATCATATTTGAATGTCTCTGTAAAACATTAATAATTGCTGTTCTTTTTCTTCAAAGTTTTGAGCTTTTGCCTGTTATGAATGAACCAGAAAAAAAAGAGCTGATCACTGATGGCCTGCTCTGTTTCTCCTCCTTTTTTTCCCTCATTGATTTAGTTCTTTTTGGAAGAAAGATCTGTGCTCAACAATTCAAGACCTGACTAGTTGTGTAGAATGAATTACGTCGAAGTTATCATAATTTTCTATCCTTTTCTTCTTGAATTGATGTATTTTTTGGCCATATCAATGTCTCTACAGAATTGATTCCATACGATGGATTATATTGGCCATGAAAGTTAGCATCTTATGTGGACTTGTGTTTACTGTTTTTTGTTGTTAGTTATAGAAAAACCCTCTTTTCAATTTGATTGCTGCCTTCCTTCTCCTTTTGTCTCGAAGGAGAAAAAGGCAGCCAGAGAGTTGGTGGAATGAGACGACATAAATAAAGCCAGGGGAAAAGTAACAAGAGAAGAAAGAGGAATTGTTGAGTTGTAATGACATAAACATGTAGTTTGCAAAAGGAGGAAAAGGACAATTTAAAGATAAATTCTATCAAATGTTGGAATTTTTTTTCTTATTCTCTGTTTGCCTTTGGCCTTTTGACTCAAAATTGGTTTTCTGCAGTATGAATATCTTGATTTTATTCATATTTGGCTTTTCTTTTGCTTTGAAGTTCTTTGCTTTAAAGTGGGGTAGTAGGGCAAATGATGTTCATGCAAGAGGGACAAATAAGTTGGTACCTTTATTTTTTGCCAAAATTTGAATGGGCAGACATAGGCTTAGCTAAGTTGGTGGATGTGCTCCCCACTCCGCATTCGAATTCAAGTCCCTTTCCTCGTAATTTAGATTAAATTAAAGTAGAATATCGCTTGCATCAATAATAAAAAATAAATAAAATTGAATGGCATAGAATATATGGGTATAAATGCAATGCAAGAAGGACAAATAAGTTTATTTCTCCTTGCATTTGGTAAATGTTAAACCTAGTGTAAGGTTTAAGGTTATATTTAAACTTGGACAGAGTAGATTTTGTACTTGAAAGTGAGGATGGATATATGTTTGGTTTGGAGAGTGAATTTTAGCTCTTGGTGAAGTACAGTGTCTATAAATTTGTCCTACCAGAGTCATAAAAATGGTCATAATTGCACCTATCTTAAAGTCTTCCATGTGAAGTGTATGAAAGCAACTGCAAAAATGCTTAATGGGAATGAGAGAGAGCTATATCAGCAGCAAAAGATGATCCTCCTGATTTGAATTCTCCTCTTTAAGTTTTAGAGTAGGTGTGTGTTGGGTTTGTTTGCTAAGTACTTAGGTCCACAGATCAAAATTTAAAGCTATTTGTGGTCCCCTTTGCCAAACATAAGTTGAGCAAAAAAGACCCCTCTAAGATCTCTTTCATCACAGAGGCTGCTGGTATCTTTTTTCTTCCATTATTGAAGCTTCGAATCTCTTAGGTAAACTTTTGGTACACTTCAACTGTTCACAGATGGGAAAAAAAAGAGAGTAGATTCTTTTAGGACATATGGATGAAAATGCTAAGAACAAGTCTCCACCTCACACCGGAATTGGAATTGGAACTATTCAACCGGTGTGGTTCGGTTCGGTCTTAATGAAAAAAATTTATGAAATCGGCCAGTTCGGTTTAAACTGATTCCGATTCGGTTTCTGATTTTTCTGGTTTCAGATCTGATAATTTTTAAAATTATTATTATTTTTACAAATTCTAACTAAAATTTATTTTTTGGGCTTAAAAATTCACAAACGATCCAATTTTATACAAAGAGAGATGATTGGGCATAGAAAAGAAAGATGCTTTGAAGTTGGGCCTGTGGAAATATTAGTTATGGGATTAGAAATTTTGCATTTGACTTAAACAATTTTTTTTAAAATAAAAAAAATTGCAGCCGGTCCAGTTTTGTAATGTGTGAAAATGGTAGCATAACTGGTTTGAATTGGTCCAATCCGGTTTGATGCCGATTTATTGACTTTTTAGTCAACATGATATTTTTTTTCCGATTTTTTCCATTCTAAGTTGCTCGGTTTTCTGGTCTCAATACCCACCCCTAATTTTCTGTGAGTCTGTGACTGGGATTTTCATCATCTCTGAAATTGGGTTGGTGCAAATTTATATTGGAAACAATTCGTGGTAGGTAAAGCAACTCCAGATTAAGCTGCTCTTATGTTTCGGTGGCTTAAATATTTAAGGTGGACAACTTTACATAAATTAAGTTTGATCAAATTTTATAATATTGTAACCACTTCAACTCAGAAGATTCCCACAACCCATTTCTTGTTGGGATGCCAGATGGTGTGC